AGGGGGGGGGGGGCTTGCATCTGCGGATTTTGAATATCTTGAAGATTTCAGAAGTGGTGCGTGAAATTTCTTGAACAGTACTGTAAATATTTTTCCCGAAGCTTTTGCCTCCGACAGTCGCGCTTGCCAGTGCTTACATCTTGTTGGCGAAGGTAGTTTTTGCAAGGAATTTTGAGTGTAAAGGTTGGTATCATCGGTGCAGCAACAGTGATACCCATCCGATTTGTAGTGCTGGAAAGTGAGATCACGGTATATGAAATGAGTCAGTGTCCATCACGATTGGCCCGAAAAAGTGCGCAGCGTTTGTTTTTGAAGAGAAAAAGTGAAGCCTCAACATCGAATAATGATCAAGTTTTAAAGCATGCATTAGTTACTTTCTGAATAGTGCCCTAGCATTTTTTCTGCGTCTGTTAACCCTATTTAATTTAACTATTTGCGACCCCAGCCAGTGGATTTCAGTGACATTCGGCAAAGTGTTTGTTCAGTTCTTCAGTTTTCCCCTGAACTCTCATCATTCAGCATCCCAGTTTCGCTATCGCAGAAATCAAAATTCTTTTCCTTGAAGCGATTTTTCGTGGCATTTCTGTTAAAAAATTTGTGATCCCGTCAAAATTTTTGTAGCACTATTGCTTTTGAAGCTTGGTGAGTCCTTGTTTCCGAAAAATTACACGCTTTGGCGTGACTACCAAGAAATTTTTGTGAAACTGCGAAACCGCGGGATCAGAAAATGTAGATTTATGCCTTTATGAGATTAAAAGATTTGTAATAAAAATTCTTGGAAAATTTTTCTAGGGTTTATCCGGCAAACTGTTAGGACGAATAACGGACACATCATATCCCCACTGCCTTGCAACTCTGGCCGGTTTGTAATTATTTTTCATTTCTAGAAGTTTAGTTTTACAATTCCGTAGTATTTCGTGCAAAAATAAAAAAGAAAACAAAAAAGCTAAAAAGCATAATGACATCTCGTTACATATTCACGTTTCTTGCAAAGTAGTATGTGTGTATTTGCGCGTCCGTATGAGTATGCTATGCGTGTGTATGTCATCTATTTCTAGCTCCTCGACCATGCTAACTAGAACGCTGCATGTCTGAATTGTTATTCCTCTATCCTTCGTGACTCATATCCCTAACATCAACCTGCGAACATTCACTCGTTGGATTTTAAGTTACCCGTAATGGAAGACAAATTTGTGCCTGGAGAATGTATGCAAAATTGCTCAGAAAGATATAACTGCGCAGGTGAAAAATCTGTTAGCATTAAGCATGCGAAGGTCAACGTTGGAATTAATTAATAACTCTAATTATAATTTTCCCTGTTTTTAAAACACACTGAGAAACATTCAGATATAATGGCAAAGCAACAGAAACGATAAAAAAAAGAAAAAATGTGGTTGCAATCGGATCCAAGTCATTGCGGGGTAGATAATGAATGTGAACATTGTTCAGCTGGGAAACGGTAAACGGCGCCAGGAACTGAGAGTTGTTGGTGCTGCTCAAAATATAGGGAATGTTTGGCTAGAAGTGATATTTTTACTCGAAGAGCCGAACAAGCAGATGAACAGCTTATTTACCCAAGGCTGGTTTTTCATACGAAACGCATAAAAATGCAAGTTAGGTTCCAATTAGTAAAAAAAATAAAAAATGTGTAGAAAACTGGAAGGAGCAAGAGTGAAACTGAGGTGGTAGATGGAGCAGAAAACAGAATACCAAATACCAATAATCACTTTTTGGACGACTGGTTTGTCATCAACTTGCTTACGCATGCTTCTAATGCCTTATTTGAGGTATCCCGGGAAAAATCTTTAAAGGGCAGAAACCTTTAGCAGCGATAAGCATACTTTGTTCTTTGAGAGAAAATGCTAGTTATTTATGAATAAAAAAAATCCTTATTTTGTGATAATTAGCTACGCATCTTCCGTGCTTGAAAAGTTCAGGAATTTCTCGAAAAATTTAAACGTGTTTAAATGCTTGGCTGTACATCCACTCAAAAACTTTTTGTTTTTATTTGAACGAATTATGGAGTGTATGGCTAGCAAATAAACAAGACCAGCTGACCTCCGTTTGTGCAGACCTCATTTGAGACGCAACTGCTTTCACAGCAAGCAGTGCATCATTATTTACTGCCTCGCACAGAAGCACGGAGACGGAGGATACGGCGTACGGCTGGTCGCTAATTAGATGCTGCCTCGACATATTTTATTAGGGCAACGGAGCAAGAAGTTTGACGACTTTGTACAGTCAGGTTTTTAAAGGTGACCGATACAAACTTTAAAAAAATTTTTACGATCAAAATAGGTCCCGCTGAAGTCCAGAAGTGCTAGTGTTTAAAATCGTATGTTTTAAAGACCAAGCCGCGTTTTTCTTAAATTTATAAGTCGATATTTTGAATTTTAATGAGTTATAATTATGTCCGCGAAGCATTGCCAAACCATGAGTTTTTCTTTTTGCCTTTTGCCTTCTTAAAGTTTGGAATTTCAGATTCAAGACTAACATTTTCAACTTTTGTTTGCTCCGTCCTGGACGGAGGGAATTTTTGGAAAAATTTCAAGTGTAGTGCACCATGATACGGGCGTTTGCATACCAAATTTCAGAGTGATGCTGCTAGGCACTATCACTTGCGAAATGAAATGCATTTTTGTCCTTCTTAATTGAAGATTGGGTCGTGGCTCCAAGAATTTCAAAAATTTGGAGCTGCTCGCATAAAATTAGACGCCGTGAGGAAGAAGAAGCAGCAGATCGGTATGTTCACACGAACTCGTTATCTGATTCAAAATATTGGTAAAATGCTGAAAACAGAAAAGATGGCGGCGTCGGGTTTAAATGACTCATCCTCGAAGCATGCGCTAGCGGTCCTGCCTTCAGATCTGCCCTTCTCCCTGAAGCCAACATCGCTATACGCCGCGATGTCGCTCTTTGTCCGTCATATCATAGATCTTTTGAATAAGAGCAGTTTTCAGGCTGCTGTTACAATACAGCTGCTACTAGCAGCGCATGAAGACCGTTGCTGCAACTGAAAAAGGTTAATGATAGCCTGAGGGCATAAAACGGAGTACTGAAAATGCACGTGTAAGAGGCGAAAAAAGGTATGGATTTCGCAAATTTTTCCCTCCGCACCACCTATCTTCCCATTTTTGTCTTGTGGTAACCCTTTCATCCCGCTCTCCCTCAGCCCGTTATCCTCTGATTTTTCATGCTGTTGCGCATGCAAGACCACATGAGCAATTTGCAACATTCGCTGTCTGCGGTGCATATCTGCAAATTGCTCATGTGGTGACCAGCACTGCATTGCTTCATCGCACTCATATGAATCACTTGCAGCACTGTAACTGACAGTCTGCAAAACTGGAAATTGAAAAGCGCGAAAATATTTTTGTCAGACTAATCTTTGGGCTTATGTGTAGCAGCAGCTTCACAGCTTAATTGCCCACTGGGATGCTAAAGTGTAATGTGCTGGAGAGCAGTATAACTGCATCATTTTACGATCTTCCTTTTTTTGCCGAGCAAATTTGCTCACCGCTTTTTTATGCGCCTTTTTCACACTCTCCCTTCGAGCCCTGTTTGCGGTGACTTGGGATTGTAAAACGACTCTCAGGTAGGGTTATTTTTCTCCTCTCATTTTAGTAACAAAAAAGCTGTACGGCAGGGGAACCGTCCGATCTGAGGGAGAAGCAAAACTGAATAAAATAGAACCCTAGATCTCCCACAAGAAGCTTAGTTCCTGATTTGGCTTAGTGTACACAGAAGAACTGGTTTTTTAACAACATTGGTGTTTTGATGAATACTGTATGGTTAAGAAATATCTGAATCGATGAAATTTCTTTTTTCCGTCGTCAAGGATGTGCATAATGTAAGCCTCCCATCCCTTTCAGCTGTAATTGTTAGAAACATCAGAATTTGCAGTACAATTTCTGAAAAATGAAAATATTTCTTATTTTGTGGCTTTAGTATTGGAATGTCGCGAAAACTATGAGTTCTGTGCATGCATTGCGCATCCAGATCTGTATGCTGGATTGCGGTGCAGGTGACATGTTCATGCTTTGCTCATATCATCGTACAATTGATATATGCATGTAGAAGAGCAATTTTAAAATTGACTGTGAAACCTATTCGCAAGACTGGTGCGCCGTTTTCTGCCACCGTGAAGTTACGGCATAATTCGTGGCAGCATGCGCATCATTTTATTTTCGCGTAGTTCATGACTTTGCGCACAGGAAACTTTGACAAGCGTTGGGACCAACAGGAAAAAGGGCTTGAGGATTTGATGATGGCTTTTGGCAACTTGGCTACAGTCCTTTTTCAACTTTTTTTCCCCAAGAAATTTAAATCATCGATTTCACGCGAAACTAGCACGGAAGTGACAAATAGAACATTTATAACTCAATCAAAACAAGTTATCAAAAAACTGTATCCCGAGAAACAAAATTGTAATGCTTTGGGCTACTAGTCCAAGAACTCCAGATTTCGGCACCGTACAAAAGCCTATCAATTAATTGCGAATTCCTAAATATACCCCGAGAAAACAAGGCGCGCTTGTTTGTTAGACCAAGGGGAATGGTCCCTCGTTACCGTTCTTTACGCTAGCGCTGCACAAACAGACTGCAACAGCTGTACCGACGCTTCTTTTCAACGCCGCACCACATTTCTGCAGTCTTTGCACCGCTATTTTGTCTATAAAGGCGATCCTAAAGTACAGTATTCCATTTGCGTGAATGCATTCACGCACGGTTTCTGAGGCTTGCCACAAATGGTAAAAGCAGTAACACGTTAAAGTCCAGGAAGCTGTAATGGCGGGTGCGGGGAGAGGGAGGGAGTGCACAACTGCACTGTAATCTGCTTGTGCGTCGAAATGGCTTTCTCCAATAACTTTTTAAAAATCCGAACCGGCGCAACATGGACTTGTGCTCTGGATTTGATAGGCCTATTATCATTGCTCCAGTGGAGTAGATTCGTGACTGACTCCGCGTCACTGCTCGTCTTCGTCTCTCCCCTTCCTCGCTTCATCCCCACAGCTTCCATCTCTGGATAATTTAGTAAATGTAGGGCATGCTCAGTGAGGTCTTGATCCTGGCGTGCCTAGTGAGGCTTGCAAATTCAAGTACTGTAGCAAGTTCTTTATGTTATTTGAAGTGAAACTTAAACCCAGGCTGGAACGCACCAAGCGGGCCGGTGCGACCATGCGTTTTTGCACTTTTTGTGCCGTAGCAAGATCTCAAGGAATTGCAGGAGCTAGTCCTGTGACATACTGGCTGTCGAAGTTCGAGAAGTTAATTATGCAGCTATGCGGCATGTCAGTTGTAGATGACCCGACAAACAGAAAGTCGTTGGTCTGCGAAAAGGCCCTACTAGAAGAGTTAAATTTGAAATCTTTTAGTCGCACATGAGCAGTGAACATCCCCTTAAAATTAGAGCCTTCCAGCTTTTCCCTTTCCCGAGTTGGCAATCCTTCCGTAGAACTTTTCACGCGTCCGTACGTGAGTCCCGGGCGGTTCTGAGGAGCTGAATTTGAAATCTTTTGGTCGTCATGACTGGGGAGCAGTCCTGTAAAGTTTCAGTTTTTTAGCTTTTCTCGTTCTTGGGTTGGTAATTTTCCCGCCGGAATTTCCACGTGCCCATACATCGGTCTTAGGCGCCTTTAGACACCTGATTTTGATCGTGCATGAGTAGGGAAAATTTCCGTAAAGTTTCAGCTTTCTAGCTTTTCTCGTTCCTGGCTTAGTGATTTTCCCGCCAAAATTCTCGCGTGCCTACGCGTGGCCCCCGGACGCTTCCAAACAGCTGATTTTGGTCGTACATGAGTAGGGAACATCCCTCTAAAGTTTCAGCCTTCTAGCTTTTCTCGATCCTGCGTTAGTGATTTCTCTGCCAAAATTTTCACGGCTCATATGTGAGCCCCGGGCAATCCTAG